GAATTTCTCCTGAGGGTTGCAAATCTGTGGAATTCTTTCCTTCAGAGAGCTGTCAAGACTGGGTCATTAAATATATTCAAGCCTGAGATAGATTTTTAATCGGTAAGGGAATCAAAGGTTATGGGGAAAAGGCAGAAAAATAGAGTTGAAGATTATTAGATCTACCTTGATCTTGCTAAACGGTGGGGCAGCCTTAATGGACTGAACAGTGTATTTCAGCTCCTACAGTCTTACAGTCTAACTCTGTTCTAATAAGATGATGACCAAGTGGTACTACTGCTAGAAAACTAATGAAGAGATCCAAGTAATGTTCTGGGGACCTGTGTCTGAATCCTGTCACAGCAGATGCTGGAATATGAATTCAACAACAAAACTGGATTAAGAGTTTAATGATTACCATGAAACCACTGTCAATTGTTGGGGGAAAAAGCATCTAGTCATTAATGTCCTTTAGAGAAGGAAACTGCTGTCCTTACCTGGTCTGTATGTAACTCCAGACCCATAGCAATGTGGGTTGACTTCTAACTGCCCTCTGAGCAATTCCGGATAGCCAATAAATGCTGGCCTAGTCAGTAACACCCACATCACATGAATGATATTTTTTAAGAAAATCCTTTGTCAATTACTTTAAATCAGTGTTTTACAGTTACAAATAGGTCCTTCCTCTCCACCATCTGAGCCCTTCATAATTTTATACACTTCAAGTAAACTGAACATCAGCTCCGTCCATTCCATTTTTATCCCCCCTCATAGCTAATGTGCTTCATCCCTGGCAAAGCAGCGTAAATCATCTTACCATCATCTATTATGACCAGGTGAGAAGTGGTGAATTGGCTCCCCTCTTTCTAACCCACTCAACTGGCTATATCAAAGATCCCAAATCTTTTTAGCATACAGCTGTATCACACCAACTGAACTTAGCTGACTAGTTCAAAATTATGCAGCCAATTATAATATTTTCTTCAGTGAAACAACCAGGAACTTAATTCCATACCAAATGCTGCCCCACCTAGCAGGGTGACGAAACGTCTGCAACCAAACACACCGGCTTAGTAAGTTTGCAGATGACATAAAGATCAGTGGAGTTGTGGACAGCATAGAAGGCTGTCAAAGGATACAATGGCACATGAATCAATTGCAGATATGGGCAGAGAAATAGCAGATGGAGTTTAATCTGACTAAGTGTGAGGTGCTGCACTTTGGGAGATCAAATGTTAAGGAAAATATACAGTTAATGGTAGGTCTCTAAACAGCACTGACGTACAGAGGGATTTTGAGATTCAAGACCATAGCTCCCTGAAAGTGGCCACACAAGGAGATAGGGTTGTAAAGGCAGCATATGGCCTGCTTGCCTTGATGGATCAGGGTATTGAATACATATGAATCAGGATGTCATTTTGCAGCTTTGTAAGACTTTGGTTAGGCTGCACTTAAAAGAGTATTGTATTCAATTCTGGTCGCCATATTACAGGAAGGATTGGAGACTTTGGAGAGGGTACAAAAGAGGTTTACTAGGATGCAGTCTAGATTAGAGGATATGAGCTATAAGGAGACGCTAGAAAAATTATGGTTGTTTTCTCTGGAGCAGCACAGGCTCAGAGGAGAATTGATAGAAGTCTGTAAAATGACAGGATGCATAGATAGGATTGACGGTCAGAACCTTTTTCCCAGAGTTGAAATGTCTAATACTAGGGGGCATGCATTTAAGGTGAGAGGGGGAAATTTCAACTGAGATGTGAGGGTCAAGCTTTTTTTTTAAACACAGAACATGTTAAAATGTCTGGAGCACGCTGCCGGGGGTGGTGGTGGAGGCAGATACGATAGGGGTGTTTGAGGGGCTTTTAGATAACCACATGAACATGCAAGGAATGAAGGCATATGGACCAAGGGCAGAGGGAAGGGATTAGTTTAATCTGGCGTCATGTTCGGCACAACATCATGGGCCAAAGGGCCCATTCCTGTGCTGTACTGTTCTATGTTCTGTATGTTCTACATGCACTCAGAAGCAAAGCTCCAAACTATCAATGATGCACTTCAGGAATGCCAAGAAAGAGTGGGCCCAAAGCTAAATATGCAAACAACAAAGATTCTTGAGCAGCCTGCTCCCGTCACCCAATGGTGCATCCAGCTATTAAGAGTGAGTCACTGAACTATGTGGATCAACTTCTCTCGCTTGAGAGCCTCCTCTTAGTGAAGGCAGGCATTCAAAACAAAATTCTACATCACCCTGAGTGTACCAGCTCAACCTCTGGCCATCTGATTAACAAAGCGTTGATGACAAACACATGGTAATTATCTTAAATTCCTTGAGAAATATCATTAGTGATACCCCAAAAAGTCCTATAAATCCACAATAGAGTATGGAGCTGGAGGAACACAGCAGGCCAGGCAGCATCACAGGAGCAGGAAAGTTGACGTTTCGGGTCAGGACCCTTTTTCTGAAATGGGGAGGAGGAAAGGACCTCAGAAATAAATACAGGGAGGAGGGGTGGGGCTGGGGAAGGTAGGTGGAATGGTGATAGGTGAGTGCAGGCAGTGAGTGGTGGGGATTGGTCAGTGGGATGGGTGGGGCAGATAAGTGAGCAAGAAGATGGGCAGCTTGTGTCAGGTCAAGGAGGTGGGGATGAGATGGAGGCTTGGACATGGGATGAGGCCAGGGGTGGAGAGATTTTAAAACTGGTGAATTACATGTTTAGGCCATCAGGCTGTAGGCTCCCAAGGTGGAATATGGGGTGTTGCTCCTCCAGTTTGCGGGTGGCGTCATTGTGGCACTGGAAGAGGCCCAGGATGGATATGTCGCCCAGGGAGTGTGAGGGGTAGTTAAAATGGTTGGTGACCGAAAAGTGTTGTCGTTTGCTGCAAACAGAGCGTAGATGCTCGACGAAACAGTCTCTGAGTCTACGCTTGGTCTCACCGATGTAGAGGAGGCCACATCGGGAGCAGCGGATACAGTAGACCAAGGTGACGGATGTGCAGGTGAACCCCTGTCTAATGTGGAAGGTTTGTTGGGTGGGGGGGATGGGGGGGGAGGGGGGGGTGCGGAGTGTAGGGCAGATGTAGCACTCCCTGCAGTTGCAGGGAAAGTGCTGGGGGTGGCGGGATTATTGGAGAGTGTGGAGCCAATGAGGGAGTAACGGAGAGAGCGGTCCCTCAAAAGCAGATAAGGGTGGGGAGGGAAGTATCTCTTTGGTTGTGGTGTAGGTGGCAGAAGTGGCAGAGAATGATACGCTGGACGCAGAGGTTGGTGAGGTGATACGTGAGGACAAGGGGGATTCAGTCTTTATTTTTGTTGGGCAGTTGTGGGTGTAAGGCTGGGATGCAGGAAATTTGAGAGATGCGGCTGTGCATTTTCAATCGCAGGAGGGGGTAAGTTACAGTCCTTGAAATAGGAAGACATCTGGTATGCTTAGGAGTGGAATGCCCCATCTTGGGAGCAGAAGCGTCAGAGGCAGAGGATTTGGGAGTATGGGATCGCATTCTTGCAGGAGGGTGGGTGAGAAGAAGTGTAGTCTAGGCAGCTGTGGGAGTCAGTGGGCTTGAAACAGACATTAGTTTTGAGGTGGTCACTAGAGATGGAGATGGAGACGTCCAGTAAGGAAAGGAAGGTATTGGAGATGTAAGTAAAGTTGATGAACTGTTCAAACTCCTCATGGGAGCATGAGGCAACGCCGAAACAGTCATCGATGTAACGGAGGAAGAGGTGGGGGGATAGTGCCAGTGTAACAGCAGAAAAGCGAATGTTCCACGTATCCTACAAAGAGGCAGGCATAGCTTGGGCCCACGCGGGTGCCCGCGGCCACCCCCTTAGTCTGTAGGAAGTGGGAAGTATAAATCCACAGGCAAGATTGGAGGTTCAACATCAAGGCAATGGTTACTGTCAACTAGCAGTGTTGGACAGGCCACAGAGTTTGCATCTCTAACACTAGACTTCCAAAACAAGCTCTTTAATCTGAATTTGGTCATAGCAAACAGTTGCCAAGAGGGCAAAGGAAATGTTTAAAGGATAGCCTTAAACCCTCCCTGAAAGAAATGCAACATCCCTATCGACTCATGGGAATCTCTAGTCCAAAACCTTGCAAGCTGGAGGAGACATCCACAAAGGTTCCAAACATTTCAAACTACACTGACAGGCCTAGACGGAGTTTAAGGGCAAAGCAGCATTGTGCAAGAACCTGAGCTGCCCAGTCACCAACTGAACCTGTAGATCCAGCATCAAATTAATTCATAATACCAGGATCCGCAACACCAGAGTGGAAGAAAGTCATTTTTGATCCCAAGGGAGGTCAAGCTGCAGCTGCACAGGGTGCTGGACCACATCTGGGGTACTATATACAGTTTTGTTCTGCTTACGTGAGAAAGAATATACTGGCACTGGTGGGGGTGCATAGGAGGTTCACGAGGTTAACAGGGTTGGATCAAGAGGAGACATTGAGTAGACTGGGACTATACTCTTTGGAATTTAGAAGAATGAAGGGAGATCTTATAGAAGTATATAAAATTATGAAGGGAGTAAATAAAATAGAAACAGGGAGCTGTTTCCACTGGCGGGTAAAACTAGAACTAGGGGGCATAGCCTCAAAATAAGGGGGAGCAGATTTAGGAACGAGTTGAGGAGGAAATTCTTCACCCAAGGGGTAGTGAATCTGTGGAATTCTCTGCCCAGTGAAGCTGAGGCTACCTCATTGAATGTTTTTAAGACAAAGATAGATTATTGAACAGTAAAGGAATTAAGGGTTATGGTGGGCGGGCAGATAAATGGAGTTGAGTCCATGAAAAGATCAGCCATGATCTTACTGAATGGCAGAGCAGGCTTGAGAGGCCAGATGGCCTATTCCTGCTCTTATTTGTTGTGTTTTTATGTACATTATTAAATGTACATGTCTAATCAACAGTGAATCGAATATTAGATTTACTCTTAACTCTAATTGCAAAATCACAACAAAAATTGGATTACAGACATAATTACACAACGACCTTGTCTGAAGCAGCTTTATGAATACCTGATGTATTTACTGATACTGATGCACCAACCAGCATCCTCTGGTGAGTATCTTCAGGGGCATTGTTCAGAGAGACTGAATTTATACTGTCTCTCTCAATCCAAACATTCCTATGACAAAATTAAAAATGAAACCATGTTTGAAAGAAAATAGCTATTTGCACAAGAAAAGCAATTTCCTTTTTCAATAAGAAAGATTCCAACATGCATACAGTTTTAGAAAATCCACTCAACTGATTTCATTCAATTCCACGAATGCAATGAAGACAGTCAGCCATCACTTAAAACAGGGAACGGATCCTTGAGCTACGTTTAAGTATTTAAAAATAATAAAGAAGGGGAAGATAAACTTGCAAATAATTTCAAGATGAACAACAAGACCTTCTTCAAATATATTAGATGGAAAACAGAGGCCAAAGTGAACATAGAGAATGAGTTTGGGAAAATAATAATGGGGAACCAAAAAATGGCAAAGGAGTTGAATAGATGCTTTGTATCAGCCTTCACAGTAGGAAACACTAATGACATTTCAAATTTACTAAATAATTGAGGGACAAAAGGAGGACAGGAAATAAATTGAACAACAGGACCAGAGAACAAGTGCTTTGGAAACTAATGGGGCTAAAGACCAAGAAGTTCCCCAGGACCTCTTAAGAAATTAAAGAAGGTAGTGACAGAGATAGTGGATGCACTGGTAGCAATCTTCCAGGAATCAGGATCCTTACAGTGCAGGAAGACGCCAGTCAGCCCAGGTCTGCATCTATCCTCCGAACAGCATCCCACTCAGACCCAGCCCCCATCCCCACCCCATTCTCATAACCCTGTATTTACCACGGCAAACCTACCTACCCTACATATCACTGGACACTATGGGGCAATTTAGCATGGCCAATCCACCAAATCTGCACAGCCTTGGACTGTGGGAGAAAACCCAAGTACAGAGAGGGAGAATGTACAAATTCCACACAAACAGTCACCCAAGGCTGGAATTGAACCAGGTCCCTGCAGCAGTACTAAGCACTGAGCCACTGTGCTGCCCTTAGGAATCCTTAGATTCTGAAAAAGTCCCAAAGAATTAGAAAATTATTTATATAACACCTTTATTTAAAAAGGGAAGGACACAAGAAGCCACTAACTATAGGCTGATTAGCTTAATGCCTTACTGGAAAAATGTTAGCATTTATTATAAAGAATGGAATAGTAAAGTATTTAGAAATACATATTATGATCAAAGGAAATTATTCCTGACAAATGGAGGAGCTAGCAAGAAGGAGAGATAAAGGAAAAGCAATGGATGCAATATACTTTGATTTTCAGAGGGTGGTTGCTAAGATGCTACTTAATTGGTTGATAGGTGACTTAATAAGAACCCACAGTGTTGGAAGTAATATATTAGCATGGATAGAGTATTGGCTAAAAGAAAACGGAATTGGGATAAGGGAAGCATTTTCAGGACTGGCAACCTGTACTTAGTGGAATGCCACAAGGAGCTGTGCTCGGGCCACAATTGCTTACGAAACATATAAGGACGTGAATGAGGAAAATTAATGTATTGTCGCGATGAAACAAAAGTAGGTGGAAAGGCCAAGTGGTGAGGATGACACAAAAGGGTCTGCAGAGGATTATGGACAGATTAAGCAAATGAGTAAAATCTTTACAGACGGAATATAATATGGGAAAATATGTGAGGTTATGTACTGTGGGAGGAAGAATTGAGGAGCTAATTATTTAAACGGAGAAGGACTGCAGAATGCTACCGAACTGAGAGATTTGGCAGTCCTAGTGCATGCATCTTAAAAAGCCAGCATCCAAATTCAAACAGTAATAGGGAAGACAAATGGAATGTTGGCCTTGATTTAAAAGGGAATTAAGTATAAAAGTAGGAAGGTGATATTAAAACTATAGAAGGCACTAGTCAGGTCACAACAATTACAGACCAGTTTAACATCAGTGATGAGAAAGCTTCAACAGACAATTACTGGGGTTGAAATTAATTGTTACATGAAAAATGTGGGGTCATGAGGAAGAATCAGCAGGGATTTCTAAAACAGAAACCACTTTTCAAAAACTAGCTGGGGTTTTGTGAAGAGGTTAAAAAAAAAGCTTGAGGAGAATAACACTGTTGATGTGGTACACACAGAGTTTCAGAAGGTATTTAATACAGTGCCACACAACAGACTTGAGAAGAGAATTATAGGACATGGAATGAAAAGGATACAAAATTAGCTGAGTGATAGGAAACAGGGAGGAATAGTCAATGCATATTTTTCAGGCTGCAGGAAGGTTCCAGGGTAGAGTTCCCTGGGGGTCAGTATTGTGATCCTTGCTTTTACTGATCTGTATTAATGACCTAGATCTTGGTGTGTGGGGGCAATTTCAAAGTTTATAATGAGTCAAAACTTGGAAGAATTGTAAACTGACAGAATAAGAAGCGATTTTAGGGGACATGACAAGATAGATGCAGAAAGGTTGTTTCCCCTTGTGGGACAGTCTTGGACCAGAGGGTAGAATCTCAGGGTAAGTGGTCAGACATCTAAGACAGATATGAGGAGGAATTTCTTCTTTCAAAGTGTAGTCAATCTCTGGACTTCTTTACCAAACAGCATAGTCGAAGCTAGGTCATTAAGTATATTCAAAGCTGAGATAGAGATTTTTTAATCACTAAGAGAATTGAGGGTAAAGGGAAGAAAAGCAGTAAAATAGAGTTGAGGATCATCAGATCAGTCATGATCTCACTGAATAAAGTCAGAAGTCACACGACACCAGGTTAAAGTCCAACAGGCTTATTTTGACATTACACAAGCTTTCGGAGCGCAGCCCCTTCATCAGGCTGTGCTCTAAAAGCTTGTGTGATGCCAAATAAACCTGTTGGTCTATAACCTGGTGTTGTGTGACTTTTGATTTTGTCCACCCAAGTCCAACACCAGCACCTCCACATCATGGATCTCATCGAACGGCAGAGCAGACTTGATAGGCTGAATGAACTACTTCTTATGGTGTTTTGGTCTTTAATGCAGTTGTTGTTTCAACATTTAACATGAGGCATTTAATAAGCATATACAAAGTTTTAACAAACAGGAATAAAATAATGTCCAGTCAGATTGTTTTCGTGATGTTCAGTAAAGGATAAATAATGATCAGGACACCAGTGAGTACTTCCCTGGTCTTGGTTAAACTAGTGTTACAAAATCTTTTAAGTCATTTGAGAAGGCAGGCAGTACTTCAGCTCAAGAAGTCATCCAAAAGATGGTACCCTCACTGTACAGCACGCCATTAGCATTATATCTGAGTGTCAACTTCAATTTTGCGCTCAAGCCTTTGGAGTAGGACTTGAGCACACAATCTTCTGACTCTGAGACGAACATGCTCAAACCAAGCCACTCACACAGGGATTTACATCAACAATAAATGGAAATGAATCTTGGCTAACCTCATGATTTCAGAGCAGATACTTAATCATAGAATAGAATCACAGAATCCCTACAGTATGGAAACAGGCCCTTTGGCCCAACAAGTCCACACCGAACCTTAAAGAATCCCACCCAGACCCACCCCGCTATATCCCACCTAATCTACACATCCCTGAACACTGTGGGCAATTTAGCATGGCCAATCCACCTAGCATGCACATCTTTGGACTGTGGGAGGAAACCGGAGCACCCAGAGGAAACCCATGCAGACACACGGAGAATGTGCAAACTCCACACAGATGGTCGTCTGAGGGTGGAATTGAACCGGGTCCCTGGCACTGTGAGGCAGCAGTGCTAACCACCGAGCCACTGTGCCGCCCTTAATATCCTCTCATATTCTACAGATGTGCAAGTCGGCACTAATCTGCACTGATGTCCCTCTAGATGGGCTTCGAAGCAGATTCCTCACCGGATATAGATCTTTAACAGGGGAGCATCCCTCCTTAATAGCACTTCACAGACTAGCATTTCTGGGACTGCACCTTTAAAATAAGCACTCCTGAACGCCTTTTATGCTACTTTATGGAAGTGTTTTCTTTCAGTAAGGCTTTTGGTAAGAACACAGCTTTGTTTCACTTTAAAGCAACAGCACTTTGTGCGGAGACCTCAAATATTGTACCCCCCCATCCATTAAAATAAGGGTAACTCATAAAATAGCACACTATTCAAGCACAATGAACAGTGATCTTGCTGTTACTATTATTGGACTGCACTCGTAATGCCAGTGCCATTGAGGTTAATCTGCAAAAACAGTACAAGGTACCTCAGTATATAAAGGATTTAAATATCTACTTAAAAAGTAAATTCTCTAAACACAGAAAAACCCTTCAGTTCCATAGCAGCAAACTTTATATTCTGAATTTTTTTTCCCCCATACCTGAACCTGGACATTGTAGTCATGCTATGAAACTTCATCTCATAGGGATTAAAGGGACCGTGCAAATAAACCTAGCGGACAAAAATGGACAATCCGGTCAGTAATGAGTTTCCTGTAAATACAATTTCAAAAAGTTGTTCTAATCTTTAAATGTAAACAATAGCAATTTTATTAGAAACAATTACTTTACCATTGAATAAAAACCAAAAGAACTGCAAATGTTAGAAATCAAAAACACCAGAAATTGCTGGAAAGGCTCAGCCCGTCTGGCTGCATCTGTGGACAGAAATCAGAGTTAATGTTTTGGGTTCAATGATTCTCAACCTTAAGCCCTAAAATTGTTGAACTCAATATTGAGTCCAAAAGGCAGCCAGAAGGTTTGAGGGACCTTCACACGTGCTTACCCCAAACCCCTCACACCAGACCTCATCATATAGTATGATATGATACACTACCAATCATCAGCCACAAGTTGTCCACTAATAGCTATTCATCCTCCCAGGCCAATCATTATCTACTTCTTTGTCTGTACATCTATTTTTCTCTCTCTTTGGGCTCTATCGCCACCTATCATTCTCCTCATCCCCTCCCCCCACCTGATCTTCTGCATTCAGTTCTGAGGAAAGGTCACTGAACCAAAACATCAACTGATTTCTCTCCACAGATGCAGCCAGACCTGCTGTGCATTTCCAGTAATTTCTGCTTTTGACTTTACCGTTGAAGATGGAAAACCCAGTTTAGAAGATGAGAACTTCTTTACTAATGTCTGAATTAGTTTCCAGTCTTCTTCCTTCTGGGTCCACACAGTTTTTTGAGTTAAGCCCAATTTTTCCTGGAGAGGACAGTCCAATATGGTCTTCAGCTGCTCATGACTTATCTATGTACAAAACATATTCATATTGAAATGGCAGCAGAAAATTAAATTATTTCATGAAATACAAGAAAGAAACAAAAGCAGAAGAACATTATTTGGTCCCTGGAGTCTACTCCATCATTCAACAATATCTTGGTTCTTGGGACTACAGCCTCAACTCTACTTTCCTCTACTTTCAACTCTACTCTAAACCCTGCATCATTTAAATAGCAAGCAAAAATTAAAAGCAGTTTTTGTCATAAAAGATTTGTTTGCATATTCACCAAATCAGGAAAATCCCAGACTTGATACAACTCGAATATAATCTGTTTTAGCCAAGATGGTTGGGACATGCTAAGTGCTATCACCATCCCTCTGGTGAGAGTTAAAAATTAACTGTGATTGCTAAGTCCACAACTCCAGGTGGCAGCATTTACAAGTAAATCAGATGAGGTGTGGCCAAAAGAGTGCTGTCCTACACGTTTGCTCATAACACACCTTTCTCAGTACGTAAAATTCCCAGGAATACTGTGGCAAGATACCAGTGGATTTACAGAAGAAAATTTGTGGCAAAAATAACATGTACAAGCATGAATTATTCAGTTTGTCAATTTTTTTAACCAACTGCAATGTATGTTATCGCATAATCTAGGAACTCAAAAGATACACCAGTGACATTAAGGCAACATAACAAGGGGTGAGGCTTATTATGTGACAGTACATTTCTTGTGAAACTGGTCAGAAAATGTATTATTTATTATCTATTACCATACAATAGAATGGATTACATGTGATATTTGTGTTGGCAAATGAAAGGAGATGATCTTTCCAGAGGTGGTGGTGTGTTTGCCAGGTTTAAAAAGGTGATGTGAGAGTTAGAGTCAGAGAGTCATAGAGCATGGAAACAGATGCTTTGGTCCAACCAGTCCACACCGTCCATGTTCCCAAACTTAACTCGTCCCACCTGCACTTTGGCCCATATCCCTCCAAATGATCCAACTGAAGTATTTAAAATTTAAATGGATTTGATAGGGATATAAATGAAAAAATGTTTTTTTTTTAAAATGAGGGAAAGAACAAAAAAAAAGACATATAGAAATTGAAGCTAAATTATACAAGAGTATGATCAAAAAGCACTTTTTCCACTCAAAACATAATTGAGCAGAAAATACTTTCCATAGAAGGAAGGGCTTGCTAGGTCAATTTAAATAACCAAAACTGAAATTGCCACATCTTTGTTCTGTAAGATTATGAAGGGACAAAAGTACACTGACTTCCTGACCACATAACATAACAGCTACAAGTCAGGAACACTGTTACTCTGTGCGTCAATGATGGAGCATGTGAATGTTGAATGTAGAATGTAGTGCATACTGTGTCAATTAGGTGGGCTGTTTTGTCCCAAATGGTGTCAAACATACTGTTTAGCACAGCTATGCAGGGATTTTCTTATGAGACAGGATGAGTAGGTACTTGGTTCAGAGAAAGGTCTGTACTTGTTGGTGTTTAGAATTATGAGAGGGAACCTTATCAAAGCATACAAGATTCTTAGAAGACTTAAGAAGCAGAGAGGTCATTTCCCCTTGTGGGAAACTGTAGGACTACAGGGCATAATCTCAGAGAAAGAAGTCACTAATTTAAGACACAGATGAAGAAGAAATTCTTCTCTCAGGATGTAGTCAATATTTATTCTTTATCACAGAGGACTGTCATGGCTGAGTCATTCAGCTCAAGGACCAAATTTTTAACTAGTAAGGGGAACAAGTGTTCTGAAGATAAGGCAGGAAAAGTGGAATTGGGGATAATGAGATCAGTCATGATTTCATTGACTGGCAGAGCAAACTCAACAGACTGACTGGTGTACTGTGTCCCTCCATTTTATGGTCTAAATCCAAACTCAAGTTCACCTATTTTTTAAACTGGAATGGTGTTAGTTTGTACATAAAGTTTAAAACTTAACAATGTTAACTTGTAAACATCAAACCTTTGATTCATATGTCTCTTCGGCTGGTTCAGCAAAACCTTCACTAATGAGTATTTCCCGCACATTACAGTCAAGTTTTGAAGTCTGTATGCTGAGATCTACGCGGTGCACATTGTGTACAACAGAGAAAATTTTCACAAGTAGTACACAGTTTTTCACCAGGGAGCTAAATCTTCTTCTGGCCTTGACATTCCACTGATCTCCATGTATCAAAGAATATGCAGAAGGACGGATATTGCAAATTTGACACTGAAGGGCCTGAACACAAGAGAAAACCCACCTATTAGCACCAGAATACATACGCCTACCACTACGACATACAATGTAAACATCTGACTGGCACAATTTTTCAGGCTCTTTGACAGAACAAATTAGAAATTTAATCAGCTACGTCATTAAGTGAAATACATTGAAGTTTGCATTATATATTTTCAAATATATTCTGCAAAGAAGCAGGAACTAATTAACCAGAAACTATTTTTTTAAACTGTTCTGGGGGCTACATTAATGGCTACACTGAATAATCACATGAATCGACTCCTCCAATTCCATCTGGGATTTTATTTGCTCCACCAACTGTAACAATAATAGCCTAGCTACCAAGATCCTGAGCTCTGGAACTAGGTTCTCCACCCCCAATCTTCAACATTGCATTCTTATTCCATAAATGCACATTATTCTCTCAAGTGTTTAGAATAAAATTTACAACTTTGCTCAAACTAACACATTCAGGAGAGATAAATTTATTTAAAGGATGTTGAATGGCTCAGTTGTAACTCTTGCTTTCAGTTACTTTCCAAACAAAAGCCATTGCATCTGCTTATAGACTGATACCTGAAAAGGCAGTTCCAGAAGACTATGTGGAATATTCCGTAAAAGATCTATAGCAACTTTTGCAGTGTTTCCATAGTCCACAAAGAATACCTGTAAAATATTTCCACAAACATGAGTTAGAGCTCTTAAAAAAATATATATAGTCAGCATCATTGCTTAACTTGGAAAATAGTTCAAACAGCAACATCAAACATGACTCAAAGGCAGAAAGGACCCAACATTGCATACTGAGAACAGCAGCAGCCCAAGAACAGCATGGGAGTGAAAGTAGCAGCAGTGATCCGGTAGCAGAGTGAGGATAAATCACAGTGACTTCACACCACAAGGGGTCATGTGATAATCTTCTCACTTATCTTAAATCAATTATGAAGTAAAATGAGGTAATTTTCAAACACCGAAAGCAAATGTGATAATTTATCATTTGTGTGAAGGCAAATTTTAATCACACTTGCAGGAACTGGTTTAATTAAATAAAGAATAGTATCTTAAATATTTACACGTTTAGAGGACCGGACTGGTATCCTCATGTAGATTTCCCTGTGCTGTTAGAATGGCTTTAACTTAACTTATGAGGAGGATTGGAGCCTGATGAGTAACCTAAATTAGAAGGAAGCTAGTAATAGGGAATCAAAAAACACGCTTGGGAAACTAGAATGCAGGAAAATCAAGGACAAGCATCGAATATGCTTTGAAAGCAGAATGGCACTCTATCTGGTTGCATGCCCGATTCACGACGGGTAAATGATCCAAAGGTATAAAGACAGATTCTTGGGTATGGTCTAACAGACAAGAAGGAAAAGGAGGTGGATTGGTAGATAATAAAGGATGGAATCAATACAGTAGTAAGAGAGAATGTCAGATCGGAAAAACAAAGTGTGGAATCTGTTTGGGTGGATTTAAGAAACAGCAAGCAGCTATAGAATTGGTTGGAGTTGCTTACAGACTACCAAATAGTAGAGTTAGGTGTAGGGAGCAGTATTAAATCAGGTGATGAGAGAAACATGTAGCATGAGCCTCACAGTTTTCATATGTGATTTCAAACTGTATACAGAAAAATAGAACACTAAAGCCGTGGAGGATGAGATTCCAGAGTGTTAAATGATGAAAAAGGGCTAATTAACAACACTGTAAAAGAATCTTTTGACCACAAGTGGGAGGAAGCAAATAAAAAAGAAAACTCTTAGTCCTTTAAATCACATTATCAAATTTTCTTTTGTACTCACCTAAGCAGTGAACAGAAGCAACTGTTTAACATTTCAACCACAGAATCACACTCTCGCCAAGCAGAATACCTTCAATACTACTCCTCAGCCTAGGTTGTATGTCAAGTTCAGAGTGGACTGAACCCACAACTTTCTGATTTGGAAGGGAAAGAGCTACCACCTAAGCAGAGCTAATAGCTACACGTGATACTATTAATTTAATAATGAGAAAAAGATACATGGATTACAAATGTTAATGCTGACCTCAGCAGAATCACCGGAGACTTGTAAGACTTTAGCTCTGTAATAATGGGTTTCACTGCAATCTCTGAATGGTGCGAGACAAAAGTCAGGACATGGCTCCAAGGTCAGTGCTGTCAACTTCAACTGATTAATTTCAGTCATCAATTTGCTTAAAATGTGCAAGCTTTGCCCATCGGTTCTGTAACCCCAAAAGTGCCCAACTTCAACAACCTGAGGAAAAGGAATTAAATAATTTATTAACATTACTCTATAGCATTATTAAACAACTAACATGAAGTCAAATATTGCAGTTGCAATTATGATTGCTGTACATGCCTAATACACTTCTAGTTAAGCTGAAAAACCAAAACTGTAACAAGGATTTAACTTTGCACTAAATCATAAAGCGCTAATCAACATTCATTTTACAAACAGCATTCCAACAACTGTATTATCATGATTTCTGTACTACTGCAAAGAAAAAAAAAAATCAATATTTATTTCAGTGATAACTGAACTCTAATCATGCTGCACTTCTGCAAACTAGAAGTACAAATGATAACAGTATTTAAGGCCATTCAGCACATTGTCTAGTCTCACACTTTGCACAGATTTATAGCTTCATCTGCTTCAAATATGAATCCTTGCCCTTGACTTCATGATGCCTGCCAACCATTTATTTTATGCTCAGATTTTTTTTCCCATTACCTCAGTGACATTCATGGTGAAAAAGCGTGGAACAGGGTTACAAGGCAATTCCAAAGGACCACGTGATTTTTCCTCAGGCATCAGCTGAACAGTCCAATTTTGATAGCCTACACAAAACCTGCAATGAGTTGACTAGTTATATTAAGATGTACAATGACTTCAGACAGACTACACTTTGACAATAAATAATGCAACATACTTGATATCTAAATTCCCAACAAAATGGTAAAGATAATGTCAGAACTTTCTAAGGTGGACACTAATCTTACAGTATTAAGTCAGTGTTCTTCCATTTGGAAGAAACAAGCTTGTGTCCTTTTTCCATGAAGAACAGTAAATGCTCGAAATCAGAAACAAATACAGAAATTGCTGGAAAAGCTCAGCAGGTCTGGCAGCATCTGTGGAGAAAAATCAGAGTTAACATTTCGGGTCCATTGACTCTTCCACAGTTCTTATTTCTCTCCACAGATGCTGCCAGACCTGCTGAGCTTTTCCAGCAATTTCTGTATTTATTTGTGTCCTTGTTCGTTGGGCCTAAGTGCAACATCAGCCCCAGAATAATTTGGTTCACTGTCTTCTGAAATAGCCCAGTAAGCCAATGTGACAAAAAACACAGCCAGCACTTCACAAAGACTGCCTTCTGTTGACTTCTCAAAGGCAAATCAGAATGAACAATAACCATCAGCCATGCCAGTCCATGTACCAAGAAAGGATAAAAATTTACATTTACGCACACTATACGCATGCAAACTCACATCATGAGAATGTTCAAACTGAATAGAATGTTTGTCAAGTGGAAGATCACCCTATTTTTGAAGTAAACTAAAAAGTCCTGCAAATGTAAAATTTTGTCCACAATTCACACTTTCTGTTGTCATGACTTTTAAATAATAATTTTGACAATATTTTTAATGCAAACAGTTCACATAGACATTTAAAAACAAGAATTTATCTATACCTACTAACATTCTAGTTCCAGGCCTCTTTTCTTTTATATTTATATTTGTTTACAGGGTATGGCCATTTTTTTTGGCTGCTTGGCCTGCTGTGTTCTCAATAAAGTACTGTTGAATGTGTTTTGAAGTGCTGCAGTCCTGTGGTGGAGGTACACCACAGTGCTGTGAGGTAGGGAGTTCCAGGATTTTGATCCCAAAGAGGGAAGGAATGGCTAAACTGTTCCAATTCGTGATGGGTGTCAGGAGGGGAACCAGGTAGAGGTGCTCCTATGTTTCTGCTGCTCTTGTCCTTCCAGATTGTTCAGACTGTGGGCTTAAAAGGAGACTAGTTTTTGGAGATAGTACACACTGCTGTGTCTGTCAGTCAGGCATGGAAGAAATAAATGTTGGCACAAAAATAGACAGGAAGGCAAGTATTGAGGATGACATAAAGAATCTGCAAAGGGGTATAGGCAGATTAACCAAATGTGCAAAAACTTGGCAGATGGAGTATTATATGGGAAGATGTGAAGTTACGTACGTCAGCAGGAAGAATAGAGGAACTGTATTTTATTTAAATGGAGAAAGACTACAGAAATCTATGTGCAGAGATTTGAGTCCTCGTGCAAAATTCACAAAATGCCAGCATCCAAATTCAGCGGGTAGCATGGAGGGTGAATGCAACGTTGGCCTCTACTTCAAAGGGAATGACATATGAAAGTTTGGAAGCGTTGCTAAAACTGCATAAGGCACTAGTTAGACTACTCCTGAAATATTGCAAACAGTTTTGGTCCCCTTATTTAAGGGGAAATTGGAGCAGTCAAGAGAAGATTCACTGGGTTGATCACAGGTATGGAAAGACTGTCTTATGAGGGAAGGCTGAGTAGGTTGGACCTGTATGCATTGGAATTTAGAAGAATGAGAGATGACCCTATTAGAACACAAAAGATTCTTTGGGGTTTTGAAAAGATGGATGCGGAAAGGATGTTTCCCCTTGTGGGAGAGTCTAGGACCAGAGGGCATAATCTTAGAGTAAAAAAAGTGTTCCTCATTTAAGTAAATGATAAGGGGCAATTTCATCTCGAGAGAGTAGTCAATCTGTGGAATTGCAGAAGTCTGTAAAGGGTGGGTTGTTGAGTTATTCAAGGTTGAGAATGGCAGATTTTTATTCGGTAAAAGAATCAAGGGCTATGGGGAAAAGGCATTGAATGGCAGAGCAGACTCGATGGGTTGAATAGCCTAGTTATGCTCCTACCTCTTATGATGGATGGCGTACAAGTCAATTTGTCCCAATTGGTGGCAACTATCTTGAGTATATTTAGAGCTGCACCCGTCTAGGTGAGAGTGGAGAATATTCCATCACACTCCTTTTGCTATGACAATGGCGAACAGGCTCTTAGATTTAGATTTGTATTGTCATGTGTACTCAAGAGAAACGAGAGTTAAAAAATTAAGCATTACTCCACAAAATAGTACAAAATTAAAGAAATAAAGTAAATTATTATTAAGTCTTTCACAGTTTAAACTAGAAAAATAAAGGAATAAGTTAGAAGTTCAACAGGCTTTGATGAATCTTCCACTTATCTTGCTCTGCTGCCTGTTCTTGACACCTCTGCCACAGATATCGTTGCTGTGCTGAAACTACCGCCTCTCCGATCACCCCTGGTGCCTCGGGAACATGCCTGGGTAGGATCCACCCGCACGCTGAGCCAAGACACCGCCATGAGCCACCGAGACACCAGCTGGCATACCACCAAGACCAGGCTGACTGCCATTGAGAGACCAGGCCAGAATTGCTGTGAGCCGCCAAGAGTGGGAAATTCAGTGATGTTAATGTCATTAAATGTTCAGAGGAGATGGTTAGGTTCTCTGTTGGTGGAGATGGAAATTGCTTTGTCCTTCCTTGTCATTTATCAGCCTAAATCTGAAAGTTTTCTAATTTTTGCTGCATATGGATCAGACTATTTCAATATCTGAAGAGTTATGAATGCTGAACATGGTGCAATTTTCAGCAGATTTCTGACCTTATCATGGAAGGAAGCTCATTGATGAAGCAGCTGAAGATGTTTGAGGCTAGGTCAGTACCCTGAGAAATGGTAAGGGGCTCATGACGCATAATGGCAGTGTCTCTACCTCTGAGCCAGGAGTCCTGGGTTCAAGCGCCACCTGCTCCAGACAGTTGTCATAACATGCCTGAACAGTTTGATCAGGAAAACATCTACGCTGAGAAAGAGTGAGGAGCTCTCATGGCCAGTGCTATTGTCCCAACTCTGGGCCAGAAGGCATGGGTTCAAGTTCCACCTACTCCATAGGCGTACAACAACATCGCTGATGAGAAAAATCTACCCTGAGAAATACCAGAGCTCTTGCAGTGCAGTGGTAGTGTCTCTGGTTCAGAGTCAGGAGGCCTGGGATCAAGTGACACCTGTTCCAGAGATGTATAATATCTCTGAACAGGTGAGTAAGAAAGTATCTACCCAAGAAACTCCCGCTAAGATGTGTTGGGATTGTGAAGAGCGATCTTCAAACCCACAACTATTTTCCTTTATAGTCAGTGAGATTCCAACCAGTAGGAAGGCTTGCCTTCCATTCTTTCCTATGGCTGTTTCCTCTCCAGATATTCTAACTGCTACATGATGTTTTGAAACATATGAAATGCAGCAGTTCAAGAAGGCAGTTCACCTCCAGCTTTTCAAGGGCTATTAGGGGCAGGCAATAATTGTTGGCCAAGCTAGCAATGCCTACAAAAATGAATGAATTTTTAAAAAGCCTGCCTCTGTAGTTCTGGAGATTTTTATAAAAACATTGGACTTCAGTGATATTTTTCATGGTTCCTCCTACTACATAGTTTGATGGTTCATTTCTGAATTCTCAAGTAGTAAAAAAAAATTGTCTTCTACTCATTGGTTGTGGCAACCACAGCTCCAAATAAAATCTGCTGTGGTGTTGCTACCTCGATTGCCAGTCAAACATTTGAACACAAATAGTTTTCTGTCAAGAAAATACTACAAATTTGTAAAAAACAGAAAGTACTCTGCAACATTTCCCCACAGTTCTACACCCTGATCAAAAGAATTAATACCATTGCAGAATGTGTAGGCTCTTCACTGATCAACATTATATCAGAGTTTGCCACAAACTTACCATCAAAGTACATTTGTACACATTCCCCAATACTGCAATTTTCAAAATTCAGCTGAAATATACACTATTTATTCCGATATCACCCAAAGAAGGTATTACCTTGGACTCCGTAAGCTTGTACTAGGTTGTCCTTGAATCAATAACTCAACTTCCTCCACGGGATGAACTTTTAACTGCAAGGGAATACGTTGATGGGCCATCTTCAGTGCCATATATACTGCAGGATGGATCTCTGCTCTTTTTATTGGATTTTGCACAAATTCGATAAAACTCCTATTTTTTAAATGAAAAATATTTGTTAGATGCCAGTTTTACAAAAGCACTTCATATTCAACGTCGCTTGGAGGAGTTAGGTTTTGAAGGATAATGGCAAAGAAATTTATTTCAAGTTTTACCAACATATCTGCAGAGATGTCTTTAAAAGGTCATTAAAGGTTCACAGTGGGCATTTGAGATTTTTTTTTCAAAACACGATTGCCTAGAAATCATTTAATTGGTGATAACCGCTTGCTTTGCTGAAGACCAGGGTCTTCCAATGTGGGAGTTGGGACCACAGTTGGGGTTGTCCAACATTATCAGCCAGCTATGGTTGCTCCAAATAACTATAACACCTATGATCCCACTGTCCCCTACTTTGCACCCTCCCATTTGACTTTCATAGCTCTCAAGGGGGTTTCAACTGTTCTCAAGCCTTGATTATAGGGTCACAGTGGAAAATGGTTTGGGAAGTACTGCTGTAGACACTGTTTATTTGAACAGTGACTGACTTGGAGAGATTCTTATTTTATCTAACTGAGTTGGCAGAGAGCCCGCTAATAACAAGCTGAGTTAGAGAGAAGCTTCTTACAAACAAACTGCCCAGCTGACCTTGCCTATTTCTGAAAAGTAAACCCCCTACCATCAGTTCAAGGTAGAACCTTCTTCATCTTTTGAAAGAGGAATTGAAAGAACATCTGAAGGTTGTACTTCCTGAGTAAGCTGTGTCTGCAATACTCCAGAGACAAAACGTGAGTGATTACTGACTTGACCATTTGTGTCAGACAACTGTTGTAACAGACTCCATAATATCCTGTACTTTATTTTCTGGCTAATGAGTCATTATTGAAGGCAAAAGTGTTACTTTTCAAAATGCCAATCCGTATAGAGATTTTTTTATTGTCTGCTTTTCTGAAGACTGTGGCTGTATCACTGGGGGCATTTAGAGGTATAAATATTACCAACTGTATACAATAATCAATTACTGCATCTTTAAAAAATAGGTTTTGTTTTGATAATAAACTCATAATTGTGCTCATTAAGAAAGCAGGTTGATAGACCTTTTTTGTTTAAAACCTCATCAATACAAGCTATTAGTTGGTCATCGTGACAAGTGGAAAAAGTTTTTTTTATTTTATCTTAGAACCCTTAAAGTGGTTGGATGAGAGTCTTGGTTGGAACACCAGAATAAATGATTTGAAACTGACAATTAACAGTTGTCAACCCCAAGTTTAATTCTCTGGCCTTTACCTGAAGAGTCTGAACAATTCAATTTTGCTGAGATCATTCTTCCGATACAAGTTTTACTAAAATAGTTTATATGCTAGCCAGCCCAAGTTTGCTCTCAGCAGCCCAAGTTTTAAATAAAGCATATATACATTAGAATGCCATAGGCATGTTATTTACTGTCACGCCTTATGTTTTCTCATGTGTCATGTCTAAAGTCAGGTGCAGTTGTACTAATATTAAATGTGCATTTGACTTGTTCCATTGCACTTCATATGTTTTGGGATCACTGACTGTACATGTAAAGAGAATTTCATGCAACTTGGCGAGATTGATCTACCAATCTAAGCCTTTTCAGTAAGAGTCCTGGATTCCTCACCACATTGTCTTCAAGCTTTTAATACTTGCAAGCAAACATCTGAGGATCTATCAACACCTCTGAATCCCTGGTTTTTATATACATTACTCAAAATTCAAGCCTGGCAATACTGGTTGGGATCCAAAAAATAAAAATGCTTTCATACAGAAAAGTCTGCCCTCAGCAGGAAAAGATAACAGAACTATCAACAGAATATGTGAAGACTATTGGCATGCACTGTTTTAGATATGCCATTGTGATCTGAGGGAACTGTACAAATTACACATAAACTTCCGTCAGTTAGATGACAGCTTTGATAATTTAGATCTTCAAACAACAGAACTGCACCATACATCTTCTCTAATCTTTAGAGCCCAATATTTTACAAACTGGTTGATCATACTGATTGAAGGTACCAAAATGTCATAAGAACAATCTCTTCAGAAAAATATGTTTTCTTAAGATCTATTTATCCTAATCAGTTGGAGGATGACTGAACTCTCCAGTTCCGGGTGGCCTCAGTGACAAGATGTGCAGTTGACAAAGTAGCTGCATTTGTTGAGCATCGTGTTAACGCAATACTATATTATTCACTGCCAGGGCATGCCTGATGCAAAGCTGTAAACACTAATTCCAGAATTTCTGGGCATCAGCAGGACAATTCTGATTAAGGAAACATAAAAGATGTAAAAGGCATCAGGATTAGAGCAGGCAGGTACATTGAGATTAGAATGAACTATATTGAACAGCAATTCCACTAAGACTTCATGCAGAAAATAGCAGTACAAACAACTATTCTGAATTGTTGTAAACCAGTGTACTGGCAAACTGAGTAACTAGGGCTGTAGAAAAAGCTTTTAGTTAGGGGGTACTTGAGAAGGGGAAACACAGGCTTGATAGTTAGCTCTCACAGTTTATTTTGTCTCTCTTTATTATCTTTACAGTCCTCCATTGCTGGATTATCTGGGACTGTCCCTGATTTTGGCCTCCTTACATGATTTTTCTTTCTCTCCTTAACTTCACTTTGACAGAGTTGATGTGGAGAGGTTGGCTCCCTTTGCGGGAGAGTCTAGGGCCAGAGGGCATAATGTCAAAGTAAGGAGCCGTCTATTTAAATCAGAGATGAGGAGGAATTTCTTCTCTCAGACAGCAGCGAATCTGTGGAATTCTTTACCAGAGGACTGTCGAAGTTGGGTCGCTAACCATATTCAAGGCTGAGACAGATTTTTAATCTATAAGATTTACGGGGATAAAACAAGAAAGTGAAGTCGAGGATTATCATATCAGCAATGATCTCACTAAATGACAGAGCAGACATCGAAGGACCCAATGGCCTACTTCCGCTTCTATATCTTATGGTCTTATAAAACAATATGTTCCTCAATCCAGCAGGAAATCAAGGAGGAGAAACCTTCTCTTCTGAATTCAGCTGTGGATAAAGTAGTGACGCATTACTTTACTGGGAGAAGAACTCCTGCAGTGCCACAGCACCCATACATAAAGTTAATATCAACGATCACACAGGAGCATGGGATAGGGGGGAATGTGGCAGATTGGATTCAGAATTGGCTGACCCTTAGAAGACAAAGGGTGGTAGTGGACAGAAAATATTTAACATGGTGCTCAGTTACAAGTCGTGTACCACAAGGACCTGTTCTGGGTCCTCTTCTATTTGTGATTTTTGTAAATGACTTGGATGAAAGAGTGGAAGGGTGGATTAGTAAGTTCGCTGATGATACGAAGGTGGGTCAAGTTGTGCATAGTGCGGAGGGCTGTTCTAGGTTACAAAGGGACATTGATAGGATGCAGAGCTGGGCTGAGAAGTGGCAGATGGAGTTTAACCCTGAAAAATGTGAGGTGATTCATTTTGGAAGGACAAATTTGAAAGCAAAACACAGGGTTAACGGAAAGATTCTTGGCAGTGTGAAGGAGCAGAGGGATCTTGGGGTTCATGTCCACAGTTCCCTGAAAGCTGCCACCTAGTTGGATAGAGCTGTTAAGGCGGCGTATGGTGTGTTAGCTTTCATTAATACAGGGATTGAGTTCAAGAGCCGTGAAGTTATGCTCCAGCTACACAAAAGCCTGGTTCGGCCACATCTGGAGTATGGTGTCCAGTTCTGGTCGCCTCATTACAGGAGATGTGGAAGCGTTGGAAAAGGTGCAGAGGAGATATACCAGGATGTTGCGTGGAATGGAGGGAAGGTCTTACGAGGGAAGGTTGAGAGAGCTAGGGCTTTTCTCTTTAGAACGACGAAGGATGAGAGGTGACTTGATAGAGGTGTACAAAATGATCAGAGGTACAGATAGAGTGGATAGCCAGAGACTTTTTCCTAGGGTGGAGGTAGCTATTATGAGGGGGCATAGTTTTAAAATGAGTGGAGGTAGATATGGGGAACATGACAGGTAGGTTCTTTACTCAGAGAGTAATAGGGGCGTGGAATGCATTGCCAGAGAGGATAGTGGAGTCGGCCTCATTAGGGGCATTTAAGCGACTAGTAGACAGGCATATGGACGATAGTATAAGGTAGGGGTGGAGGTTAGATAGACCTTAGGTTTAGGGTAAAAGTTTGGCACAACATCGTTGGCCGAAGGGCCTGTACTGTGCTGTACTGTTCTATGTTAGAATAGTACAAACACTGACATTTGCTTAGTGAGATCAAGTGAAATTGCAAATTTACCTTGCCTCTCACAATGCCCCCTCTATCCTTTATCTGAAGGCCTTCTGTTATTTGAATTTTATTTTATCGATACAAATTTCCTTGAACATTTAAAGGATTTTAGATAAGTAAGAAAACAACCTAAACATTGGCTTTGTTGCAATGAAGCTTAGAAACCACTCTCAAAGTGTTGAGTCAAAGTTCTTGTAAAACATGTCAACAAAGTTATCAGCTAATCAAATCCAACTTACTTTGAACCATCAAATGAAATAGTTCTGATTTGACCGCACTGCCTGAAGAGAGATAGCAACTGTTGGTAGTACAGGAATCCATAAGGTGGGACATTCCTCACCTACAGCACAAGGATAGCAGAATTTAGTTCTTCCAACAAAATTGACAGGATGGTGGTTATGGTGCTCATTCTGGAGTACAAGTGAACACTTAATTCTTATTTGAGACAAACATCTTATCATTAACTTCTGTGCAGGATTGTTAACAGGCAGTTTGCTACCTAAGTTTGAGATAGTAGGAACTGCAGATGCTGGAGAATCCGAGACAAGAAGGTGCAGGGCTGGATGAACACAGCAGGCCAAGCAGCATCAGAGGAGCAGAAAGACTGACGTTTCGGGCCTAGACCCTTCATCAGAAAAGGGGAGGGGAAGGGGGTTCTGAAATAAATAGGGAGAGAGTGGGAGGCGGATAGAAGATGGATAGAGAAGAGGATAGGTGGAGAGGAAACAAACAGGTCGAAGAGGCGGGGATGGAGCCAGAAAAGGTGAGTGTAGGTGGGGAGTTAGGGAGGGGATAGGTCAGTCCAGGGAGGACGGACAGGTCAAGGGGG